TAATTAAAAAAGATTTATTTTTAAAAAATAAATAAATATTTATAATAGCTCTTTATTCAGTATCTGGCTGATTATTTACTTGGATATTATTAATAGTATTTTCTTTTTATAATTCTTGCAAAAATAGTAGCTTATAAAATTAGTTTCTAAATTTTTAATTTCTAGATATTATAAAATATAAAAATATACAATACAGTAGATATAAGAAATTCTATTAGAAAATAATATATCTTTCTAAAAATTATTTTATATTATTAATATCTTTTTTAACCGAAGTAAAATAGCAGTTTTTAAGTTTATATATAAATTTTAAAAAAAATTATCTTCTACTATTAATTCTAAAAAATAAAAAGTTTTTTTTTATAAATTAAATATAAAATAATCTTCTGATTCTTCGCGACGCGCATAATCTGGAGATTTAAAAAAAAAGAAAAAATCTAGCTTAAAAAACTTATTTTAGTTAAAATATTATTATAGTTTATAAAAATCTAAAAAATAAAAAAAGAAAATTTAATAGTATTCTTTAAAAATAAACTAAATAACTGTAATTAACTTATAATTCTAAAACTATTCTATAAATAATAAATATAAAAAAATAAAAATAAAAAATTCTATAAAAATAGTTTGTTTTATTTTAAGATATACTTTTATATAAATATAATTTATTATATTTTAAATATAGCTAAAATATCTGCTGTATTTTATTTATTTTAGAAGATTTAATAAATAGAAAATTATATCTTAAGCCTAAAATTATAAAAATTAGATTAATTAAATTAGTTAGATTATTTTTATATTAATAAAAAAAATCTGAAAAAGACTTTTATAAAATTCTTTAGAAAATATAATATCTAATATTTAATTAGATAGTTATTAGAAAGTACAGTTACCGAGAAAAACTATATAAATAATATTATATAAATATTATAATATAGTTCTAATTCTTCCGACTTATTTGTTTAATTTATTTAATCTATTTAATCTATTTAATCTGTTTAATCTACTTAATTTATTTAATTTATTTAATTTACTTAATCTGCTTAATCTACTTAATCTATTTAATCTACTTAATCTGCTTAAATTATTTAATTTATTTAATCTGCTGAATCTACTGCTTTTAACTGTTTATTATATAATCCCGAATCTGCTTAAAAATCTTTTTATTTTTAAATTTTTTTATAGCTTTTTAAGCTACGTTTTATCTATAAATCTAAAAATAGCCTAATTAAATAGCTAGTTAAGGATAAAAAAATAAGTTATTAAAATATTACTAGTCTATTATTTATTTTATTATTTTATTTACTATTATTTATATTTACCAGCCCGCAACTTAACAGCAGGTTTTTTTTTAAATTTAATTTATAATATAAATAATTCAGCTCTTTTAGATAGAAAATAAGAATATAATAAACTATCTAAGCTAGAATAAAAAAAAATAATAGAATAAAAGCAGTATATTTATTTTTAGTAATCTAACTAGTAATAAATATACAGTTTTTTAGCTATTATATAATATAACTAAGATATACAGTCTAAATCGAGCTGTAATTATATATATTTATATATATTTTTTATTATAAAAGCAACAGTTTTATAAGAAGCTAAATTTTATTAATATTATTAGGATTTTCTGATTAATTCTTTTAGATAGAGATAAAGAAGATACTAATATTTTTTTTAGTTATTATTTTTTAATTTAAAAAACTTATTTCTATATATTTTTAGACAACAGTTAAGATAGTCAGATTAATAACTACTTAATTGTCCGATTATGTTAACATAATCGGATACCAAACCGGCGTAATACCAAACCGGCAGCTGTATCGGTCTATTAAAATTCTTAATATTCTTTTTATATATAAAGCTTAAAAATCATATTAAAAAGATTATATATATTAATTTTTAATATTTTTAACTAAATATTTTAATTAATTATATTATTTATTTTTATATATACTATAGTAAGCCTGCTAATATATTTTAAAAAATCTTATAATTAAAATCTAAATAGTCTTATTTTTATATATTTATATAATATTAAAGTCTTTTTAATTTATTAAAATATTATTATTATATATAAACTATTATAAAATCTTTTTTTTTATTTATATATTTTTATTAATTATAGCTACTTAATTTAGTATTAAAATAAAATTATTAATTATATTAACTATTTTACTATTTTTATTATTTTTTTAATAATTTTATATATAACTATTAATAAAAAATCTTAATTTATAAATTTTTATAATTTTTTTTCTGCTTTTCCAGCTCGTATAAATTATTAGATATTTTTTTAAAATAGAATAACTAATTCGAATATAAAAAAACCAATATATTAATTTTTTTAATTATATATAAAGCTCTAAAAGAATCTTTTAAAAATTAAATAAAATAAGATTTATAGTTTAAAAACTGCTGAAAATATTAGTTTTAATAAAAATCTTAGTATATATATTAATATAATATTATAAAAAATTAATTTTAATAATTAAGTTTTTATTATTATAAATAGTTTTATAAATCTACTAATTATATAGTTTTTTTAATAGTTTAAAATATATAATATTAAGTAGTTAAAACTTATAAAATAAATAAAAAAATATATATAAAGATATAATCTTATAAGCTGTATAAAACTAGTTAAACTATTATATTATATAATTATTATAATTATTAAAAATTAATAATTAGTATAAACCGACTGTTTATAAAATTATATATTAGTTAAATATATTTTAAAACTATTTAAAATTAAGCTTATTAATAGTTTATTTATTTTTATTAATATTAATATAGTAAGACTTTAAATAGATTTTATACTAAGTTAATTAATAATATTATATTATAAAAATAATTTATAATAGTAGAACTATTTCTAAAACTAAAATTTTAATAATTAAAATTATTTATTTATAATTTTTAAACTGTATATACTTCGCCTATAATTTTTATATTTTAAAACTGCAGATTATATATATAGTTAAAATTATTTTTATTTAAAATCTAGTTTTATTTATATTCTAAATATTTTTATAAAAAATATTATATTTTTAAATTATAAAATAAACTAATTTAAACTATTTTTAGATCAGCTGAAGGTTCTTATATTTAACATATTAATAATTATATTTTAAAATAAATTTAAACTTTAATTTAAAATAATATTTAATAAAATAATTAATCTAATATTTTAATATAAATTTATATTAGTTTAGCTTTATTTTTACTTAAAAAAATAGTTCAGCTAAAAATTAAGTATTATAAATTTTAAAAAATAATCTGCGGTATATTATATTAAAAAACTATTACTTTAATATATTTTTTTAATTAAAAATAGCTTCTTATAATTAGTATTTTTTTAAATATAAGATTTAATATTATTTAGATATTTTTTAAAAATACTAATCTTAATATTAAAAACTATAATATATATAGTTTTTATAAAAAATTTTCTGTATTAAAAAGTTTTAATAATAAAAACTATATATTTATTTTTATTAATTATATTATAAAATACTAAAAATTAGAGTTATTTAATAATTTAAGTATATTTTCCGGCTTTAAAATAGTTAAGATAGTTAAATATATTAAGAATTTTAGTAAAAGCCGGTGCAGCCGCCGGTTCGGTGTCACACCGGTTCGGTGTCCGATTACGTTAACTAACCGGCAAGCCAAGGAAAGATGCAAGCAGGTGGGACCACCTGTATTTTTATCAGTGCATCTTACCGACTAAAAAAGGATTATCTGACATCGATCCAGCGGATGGTTCGCTCTATAGGATTCCAGGTCCTGTCAATTTCCCTATAAAAGCACACATTCTAAGACTCAAAACCAATCCAATGATCCTACTAATTCAATCTAGACTCTATGGTATGTACATAATACTAAACCGATATGCTAAGTCTCTATGAATACATATAATCAATCGGATATGGTTAATTTTACACTGTGACTGAAACAATAAATATATGTTTAAATTGCCAGGCTGGAACGAGACAACAGCCCCTCTAAGTATGGGAGAGATAGACTACCTATACCAATGAAGAGTATGCCTCACAATCTTGCTCTGCTATCAAGATATGAAAGGCCCATTTGGTCCACCGGTCTGCATATGTTATTCGCATAATAGATACGTCAGCCCTAGGAAGAAGTACTATCGGAAGATACGCTACAAGGACTGGAGGACTAAGGCCATTCAAAATTATGTTGAGTAATATTAAAAAGAAACTAGATACAGCTATATAATATTTTTAATTTTTAGTGATTACATAATCCGGTAATTTCAGACTACTAATATCAATCCGGCGATCCCAGGCTACCAACACCGACAAGTACCATATGGGCATCAAAACAACAATGCTTTTCTGATCAACATGTTTCCTATTCCACAGAGACAGAGTTTAGATACGTGGGTGCTACTTAATGTAATTAAACACTATGTGACGCAACCCCTGCAAAGATCGCGCTCCTCGGTAACTGCTGGTTGGACCTGCACAGGGCCAAGAGCCCTGCGCTAAGCAAAAGCAGTTATTGTCGTCGATAGTCTTCACTCTACGTATGAGTAAATCATGATGTAGTGGAGTAAGTTAGCCGGTGGGTAATAAAAAACCAGCCACCGTTGTCTTGTTTTACAATTAGATCTCTTATTGAACGGTATCAGAAGAAACACCTGGAAGGACGCCAGAGTCCCACAGAGAATGGCACCCCAACAACTCGACTCATACACAGGCAATGCTTCCAAGCCGACCAGGGCGTGGTAAGATGCTCCATAGAGTTTCAACCCCGCTTCGCCTCCAATTGAAATAAAATCTCTGCACTGTACTCGGGACAAATGACGTTGCTGGGCTGTAGATGGAAGTTGACAAAGGGAATAGCCGCGACTCCCCGGCCTTTGCTCTTCCCCATGTCACTTGCGGTCATTCAACCCCCTTTGCATAGTTCTGATCTTATCATGGGATATTAATTCGAAAGCCGCAGGCCGATGCCTTGAAAAGGAATCAGGAGGTCTTTGGGGAATGTTCAGGTATTGGTGAGTCGCACCACGATTTCAGTCCGGGATAGGTACACGGCGCACTTCTGAGACCATTTGAGGAACCATATGTGCGCTTTGGGGCAAGTGTCCGAACAAATACAATTTCACGTCCAGCAGCTGTGGTTCCGCGGTCAAACTGCGAACGGCGTCGACGCTGCTCGTCACGGTACTGTTGGCCGACTCGAGGAGCAAATAGGCCTGAATAGTCAGACATCAACTTGAATCTCAGCGCTAGCTCGCTATGTACTGACCTACATGCTCGGCATTTTCGATGCTACGACGCATCTTTGAGGGATTGTCTGGTCCAGGGAAGCGATCCTCGGTGCCAGCGAGATGCCCAGTACCAGTGTGGAAAATCTGCATTGGGCAATAAGCCTCTTATGTCGTCCACGGGCTTGAGTTAAGGGACATATATACAAACCTTCGGGCGAAACGAAGGGTGTTCCAACATGACAGAGCTGTTTCGAAACTTTTGTACCAGGCAGTCTTTACCCTGAATAGCTTTCACTGAAGTAAGACAACCATCTCTTCCTCGAACGAAGCCCTTCGTTGACTTACTGGCATATGAGACTTCGGCGACTTTATCACTGTTGAAGCAGTTCCTTACTCACTTTGTCAGCGGGAGTATGTTGAATCGATATCCCCGTCATACCATGTTCTTCCAGCCCGTGCATTGACAAACTAAATATTCTTAGTGGTATGCTAGGATGCACTGCCTCGTGTATGTACTGACGTCAATAATATCGATCGGCTGGACTGTGTCAAATGCCGAACTTTTTGCATCAGGCCACACACACCAGATGATTTGACAGACTTACATCTTCAAAGTTTATGAAAGCATAGCCAACACTTGAGGGTTTCAGCAACAGGATTTCAGACTTGTGAGGACATCATTGCCATACTTGCAGTTATTCGCAAAGTCTATAAGTAATATTAATGATTAGCCACAGTGCTCATGATATGGGTGTCTCATAGTATCTCACCAATGCGTAGGTACATGAAGTCATATTTTCCATGGCTTGTCTCATCGACAATGGCCTTAAGCATGGTCTTATCATATTAGAATCCAAGCAATAAGTATGAACGCCGTGACTTTACCTGGTCAATCTTATTGGGAATGTTGCGAAGCATTATCTGTGATAGACATGCCCATTAGCATTAGGGCTATTAAGAGAAATGACTGACGGGACCCACAGTTGTCCTGACATCCAAACCAAGGCGAATTCGTTCAATGTCAACAGAGTTTTGGCTTCCCATACGGGGATCAGGATAACGGTTCAGATCACGCCGCGGGGAAGACATGACCCTTTCACCAGCCCTGGACATCCAATTCATAAGACTAGTATGTTCACCTGGTGGTACTGTCGAGCGACCTGTTGGACTGAGCTCCATGTAGGGAGTGCGACATGACTGAGTCGGAGTCCAAGAGGAATGTGTGCTGAAATGACCTTCTGTTCCAGTGAGCCGCTCCTTCGCGGGAGTAGGACTGGCGGGGGTGAACCTGCTCTTCTCCAGATCGGGCTTAAATTGTTTGATCTCGATAATGCAGTCCTTTCGTCTGAGTTTTAGTAATAGCCAAGGGTATCGCATAAGAGAATAAACATACGTCAACCAAAGTTCCATTCAAAGTGGTTGTCACATTCTCAGCGTCGCGAGTATTGAAGAACTCGAGATGAAATTCGCCAATGTTGTCTTGTCCTGTCGGTACATCTGTAAAGGACTTTATGTCGCCGAAGGTCATAGCAAGAGTTTCCAAGGAGCGGGCCACGGTATGCCGATTAAGATTTGGATTACGGCCGTCGAAGTAGACGGTCACCAGAAGTTGGCCTTCATAATCAGATGCCTGTGATAGAAGAGCTGGCTCCGCGTGCCGCACGTACTCCTTAGCATTAATGGGGAAAGCTCGCCATTCGGGTCTAAGCAGGTTGACCTTTTCAATCGCTTTTGTAACCTCACGACTATCTGTGAATGCAACATAGACTTTGCCACTCGAGTTGAGTTCTGAGAGAACAGGACCCCTAAGAGAGCCAAACTCGCGACGCTATCTCTGATCAGCATATGCTCGTCACTCTCACCGAGAGATGTCAAACATCTTGATGCTTGGGACCCACGTTGAAGAATCCAGCTAAGGACATGTATGTCAGATTGTTTGGCACATTCTCTATTACCAGTGCTCGACTGTGACCTTCATTTTCAAGCTCATCCGGCTCTGTACCAAGCAACTGCTTGATTTTGTTCGACTGTATGCTACCAATAGCGCCGTAGCTCGAGATATCTCTTTCCATGCGGTTCATGAGCCCTGGGCTTCTTTCAATGCGCTTGATATCTGGGTGCGTTGCCAGGAATTCGGCTCGAGAGAAGTTTTGTGGGCAGGATCGGCCTTGAGTCTCGATATTTGCGCTATCTAACATACCTACTGGGGTAAATGCCGCCGCTGTCGGTGAAAGTTGGACACGTGTTGCTACTGTTGACACGAAGAATGGATCAGGAGATGTACTAGAGTGGTTAGAGAAGTTGTTTATGCATCAGATCTCATACACTCACGCAGAGCAGAGTCTACGGACTCCGGCGTCGCTGAGTGTGTCTATAACACGGGTGCCCAGACGGCCTCTAGAGATCGTTTCCTCGGGCGAGTAGACGGTGAGCTTGGTATCAGGAGAGCCATTGGCTGAATCAATATCGTTCAGAGAGCTAGGGCTGCTCAGGCCACGAGAAGAATTTCCTGTCCGCATTATCTGGTGTTTCTGCGTGTATTCTTGTGACTAATGAGGTCGAGTCTTCAGTTAAGAGGAAGGTCGTGTACCTTCACACTGCAGGCTTGGGGTATAATGACTGTAAAAGTCCCGGCAAAGAGAAACACCATTTATTCAGACCCAGCCTGTGAAAGATGTGCTTTGTAACGATAAGCAAGATGCAGTGCGTTTGTCTATTTTAATGCGGGTCATAAGTGAAGGGAGAAGGATAACTTCACAGGTCTAGTATTGGGTGTTAGGGAAGGGCCCCGCATGGTAGGTAACAGGTACTTAGCACAGTGATTCTTCATCATATACTAGGCTCAATGATACTGCTGTATTATCCTTCTAGACGAAAGAATATAACACAAAATCTACTTTTTCCCTTCTTAGTCCATTCATGCTCAGGGTTTGAGACCATTCTGCCGGCGACGCAGTAAATTGGTCGTACGTGCTTTTTTGGGGCTTGCAGCATGGAAAAAAACGTCTGACAACTAAATCGTTGCGTTATTCTAAGCTCAGAAACTAGGCATGTAATTCGATCGATATAGAACACAGTCTGGCCACTGGCTTCACTCCCAATCTCATACTGTTAATGTCGGCCATCATATAAAGCTCATGGCTATTCCGCACTGGAAAACCTGCTGCGAATTCGGTAGAAATATCCACAGAGATGATACCAGCAGCCTCTATTGAGGAAAGCCCGGCTTGTAAGCATATCAGGAGACTTCCACGTGTTCTGGCACTTTCCTGCTCCGTGAGACATCTCCCAAGGTCCCGGGGTGCTTTGGATCCAGGGCTGAAGAATGTTAACGTGTGAAATATCTGAAAGTCAGGTATGGCACTATGCCTATGCGATATGCTAGGTTCGAAGTGCCCGATTCGACCAAAAAAAACAGATCCTTTATCACAAACTTTGCAAATCCAGCTAGTAACTATGAGTAGTATATGTACGGAATATGGAGACGTATTGAAGCAAATATATCAACTTATGGAGGGAAACCGGTAAGTCTTGACCAATGAAACAATCAAAAGGACTATAGCATGAGGTTATTCTAATTATTTAGTACCAATATAAGGTGTGTAAAGGTAGGCACAAACCGTTGTCGGGTGAGTCCTCCGCCCTTCCCTCCTCAGTATCCATGATCTACATAATATCTACGGAGTACTCCGTAGCTACCGGCAGCCATGACAAGTGGGGCGGACTAATAAGACCACTACTCGTCGCTATCGTTAATCCACCCCTTATCAGGGGCTGGTCACCTCCACCTCATGAATAATTTTACTCTAAGAATAACAAAAATCACATACTAATTCTACTTTTTCGATTATATATAACTTTATCAATTTAAGAAATTAGATTTTAAGATTAAATTATTATATTTTTTATATCTAGAATTATATATCTATCTTTTTCTTTTTTTAAATATTACATATTAAGAAAAATAGCTAAAAGGCTGCCTGAGGTCTCAGGTATTTTTAGTTTTTTAATTATTATAAAAGATATAGTTAGAAAGTATCTATTTTTTTAAAGATCAATCTCTTATATTATTACTTCTATCTCTTTTTAAAATAGTAAAGCCTAATCCTTTAAATTAACAAAGTTATGCATGATTAAAAAAGTAGGATTAGTTTATGTTTTTTGTTATTCTTAAGGTAGAATTATTCGTGAGGTGAAGGCGATCCTCCACCTGCGGTGGAGGGGCGCCGCAGCGACGAGTAGTATTTACTGAGTATGAATAAAATACCATTTTTTTCAGAAGGAGCTTTGGAAAACTTAGCAGATAAAGCTTCCGGGCCAGGCAGAGATAACGTAATCGGACACCGAACCGGTGCAACACCGAACCGGCGGCCGCACCGGCCTACTAAAATTCTTAATATTCTTCTTATATATAAAGCTTAAAAACCATACTAAAAAAATTATATATATTAATTTTTAGTATTTTTAACCGGATACTTTAATTAATTATATTATTTATTTTTATATATACTATAATAAGCCTGCTGGTATATTTTAGAAGATCTTATAGTTAAAATCTAAATAGTTTTATTTTTATACGTCTATATAATATTAAAATCTTTTTAATCTATTAAAATACTACTGTTTTATATAAACTATTATAAAATCTTTTTTTTATTTATATATTTTTATTAATTATAGCTGCTTAACTTAGTATTAAAATAAAATTATTAATTATATTAAGTATTCTACTGTTTTTATTACTTTTTTAATAATTTTATATATAACTATTAATAAAAAATCTTAATTTATAAGTTTTTATAGTTTTTTTTTACTTTTCCAGCTTATATAAATTATTAAATATTTTCTTAAAATAAAATAACTAATTTAAATATAAAAAAACTAATAGAGTTAATATTTTTAATTATATATAAAATTTTAAAAGAATCTTCTAAAAATTAAATAGAATAAGATCTATAGTTTAAAAACTGCTGAAAATATTAGTTTTAATAAAAATCTTAATATAGATATTAGTATAATATTGTAAAAAATTAATTTTAGTAATTAAATTTTTATTATTATAAATAGTTTTATAAATCTACTAACTATATAACTTTTTTAATAGTCTAAAATATATAATATTAAGTAGTTTAAATTTATAAAATAAATAAAAAATATATATAAAAATATAATTTTATAACTATATAAAACTAATTAAACTATTATATTATATAATTACTATAACTATTAAAAATTAGTAATTAATATAAATTAACTATTTATAAGACTATATATTAATTAAATATATTTTAAAACTATTTAAAATTAAGTTTATTAATAATTTATTTATTTTTACTAATATTAATATAATAAGATTTTAAGTAAATCTTATACTAAGTTAATTAATAATACTATATTATAAAAATAATTTATAATAATAAAACTATTTTTAAAACTAAAATTTTAATAATTAAAATTATTTATTTATAATTTTTAGATTATATATATTTTGTCCGTAATTTTTATATTTTAAAACTACAGATTATATATATAGTTAAAACTATTTTTATTTAAAATCTAGTTTTGTTTATATTTTAGATATTTTTATAAAAAATATTATATTTTTAAATTATAAAATAAATTAATTTAAACTATTTTTAAATCAGCTAAAAATCCTCGTATTTAATATATTAATAATTATATTTTAAAATAAATTTAGACTTTAATTTAAAATAATATTTAATAAAATAATTAATTTAGTATTTTAATATAAATTTATATTAATTTAGTTCTATTTTTACTTAAAAAAGTAGTTTAGCTGAAAATTAAATATTATAAATTTTAAAAAATAATCTATAGTATATTATATTAAGAAATTACTTTTTTAATATATTTTTTTTAATTAAGAATAGCTTGTTATAATTAATATTTTTTTAAATATAAGATTTAATACTATTTAGATATTCTTTAAAAATACTAATCTTAATATTAAAAACTGCAGTACATACAGCTTTTATAAAAAATTTTTTATATTAAAAAGTTTTAATAGTAAGAGCTATATATTTATTTTTATTAATTATATTATAAAATACTAAAAATTAAAATAATATAATAATCTAAATATATTTTCCGGCTTTAAAATAGTCAAGGTAGTTAAGTATATTAAGAATTTTAGTAAAGACCGGTGCGGCCGCTGGTTCAGTATCGCGCCGGTTCGGTATCCGATTACATTAATCAGTCTTGGTTACCTAAGCAACTAAGAAGTCTAGCGAAGCGGTTCCATATTGTACAGTACTTCCAATTCGTGAATACAGGTCATCTGAACTTTTTTTGGGCTCAGATAGAATATTCCTGCAGTATATAATATTAAGTTTCTTGTATAAACAGAAATATTCTATATAATTCTATAAATTACTGTTTTTTATTATTAAAATTTAAATTTTTTTATATTTTTTAAATACTCTTACTTTTAAGTAATTTTTTAAGTTATTTTTTAAGTACTTATTAAATAATTTTTAAGTACTTGTTAAATACTTTTTAATTACTTATAATTTTAATAGTTAAAAAAATATATTTATAATTTTTTTTAAATTTTTTTTAAATACTTTTTAAGTATTATTAATATGCTGGGCTGAAAGCCCTTAAAACACGAAGATATTAAGATAATATAATAGTATAAAATTGTTATTTCTTCTATATACAAAGTATAGGATATTAAATATAAATATAAGAGAAAAAACAGGAAAAACAAATAAAAGAAAAGTAAAATAAAAAAAAAGATATTAAGATAAAGTTAATAAGTAGTTTTTTTTATACTAATAATACTTTTATTATCTTTTTATATTTTTATTAAAATAATATAAAATATTATTATTATTACTGTTTTACTTTATATTATTTAAATTATTGTTCTTATCCAGTATCATTAATATTTTATATTTTCTAAGAAATAATATAATATTTTTTAATACCAGTTTTTTATTATACAATACCTACTGCTACAGCAGTCTATATCTACTACTATAGCAGCCTGCTCCGGGGTTAATATAGATTTATTAGATTTTTAATCTAAATATATATATTATTATATTACTTACTTTTTTTTATATAATATACTATTTTAAGATTCTTTAAAAAAAAGATTTCTTAAAAATTAGTCTTAAAATTAATAGAAAACTATTTTTAATTATTATATTTATTTTATTTAACTAGTATATTTACTATATTAAATAATTTCTAATAATTTTTAATTTTTTTTATTTTTAGTTATTTACAAAAAAAATATATTATTTAATAAATACTTGTTAAAATTATTTTAAGATATTTTATTTATTTTTAAATTATATTATTTAATTTAAACAGATATTTAAAAAGTACAAGCTATTATTTATTAATTAAAATAATTAAAATAATTAAAAAAACAGATTTAAATATTATAAATAAAATATAAAAATATTAAATTTTTAACAGATTTATAATAATATTATATTAGTTTTATTTTATTTTCTAAATATAAAAAAAATTAAATCTAAAAAAATTC